TAAGAAAAGTGAATTTTCAAATGAATGGGACTGTGTAAGACAAATGGAAACATAAAATGACTACGCTGAAAAATAAGGAATGTGCCATAGCCTCGGAGCTTCAGCCTGTTGTATATTTTATCAGAACATCCCTAAGGTAACTCTTGGCACTCTGAGTTATCCCCTTCTTTTGATCTGTTTCTTCTCACTAAGACAATTGTTGTCTTTGGGGCAATAGAAAGGCAGTAACCTAAGATCTACTACATTATTATTACTTATGAATATATATATCTGCATCATTTTCCCTCCTTTCTGAAATGTATAATGTATTTAATGTATAAATATCAGTGGATATCTGAATAGAATAGAATAATATCTTTTGTTTGCTGGGATAACTCACCAACCTTTTCGTGGGGTCATCTCCAGTATGTACTGTTTACATAATAAACATTGCAATGAGCCTTAATTATTTGGTTTGGGTCCTGTGTTTTGACTCCACAGTGTTGAAGTTGAAAGGAGGAATCTATTTCTTATTCAATCATGGAGGTCGTTGAGGGCCTTCAGCTCAGTCCCTCTCAGAGGGTTGTAACGGTGATGGGAAAAAAATAAGGGAGTTCCTCATGTAAGCTGCCTTGAGCTGTCAGAAAAAAGATGGAAGAGAAAAGCACAGAAAAATAAAAGTCATTGGTTGTGACTCATAAGAAAAATAAGTTATTGGTTGTGTGAAGCTATATCCACTTCTACTGGTTCACCATTGGATCATCACAAGTAGGATGCTTATATATGTACATTGTGTTGCAAGTGCCTTCATATACCGTATGACTGTATTGTGCTCAAACAAATCAGAATACAGAATGGCGGAGTTGGAAGGGACCTTTGAGTTTTTGTCCAATCCCCTGCCTAAGCAAGAGACCCTATACCATTCCAGACAAATGGCTGTCTAATCTCTTCTTAAAAACCTCCAGTGTTGGAGCACTCACAACTTCTGAAGACAAGTTGTTCCTTAATTCTAGATTGAATCTCTCCTCTGTCCATCTGTTATTTCTTGTCTTGCTCTCAGGTGCTTTGAAGAATAGGTGGACCCTCTCTTCTTTGTGACAGCCTCTCAATTATTGGAAGACTGCTATCATGTCACCCATAGTTCATCAATACATGTCATATCATAAGTAAATGCAGGGCCCAAAGCTAGCCTCCTATTTCTCTTCTTGTAGCTATGGAAGTATGTATCCATATGTGATTACATCTATGTTTGGGAGGACTGAAATATTTGTTCTAAAATTTTTCAGACAATATGTTCTGAGTCTTGAATCTTAAGATCTGCCATTCATTTTTTTTTCTGTCCTAAGGACCATACTTGATTATAACAAGTCATTCAATATCAACTTGCTTCTATGTTATATTTGCTACAATTTAATTTAATTTGTTTTTATTTTATTCATTATAACAGGATCAAGGGGAATTATTCCCCTTACTGATGTGCTCTCCTTTGTTTTATATTCATCCATCTTAGCTGGATTGTACAACCTGCAATGCATTTTCTAATATGAATTACTTACTTGTGACAAATTGCTTTGTCAACTTAGTAACTGATTGAATAAACAAAGTGATTTCTCTTTGTGCACCATTAAATCTGACAATTGAATTACACATATCCTAAATTATGATAGCTTTTTAAAATGGGAGAAAAAGTTTTCCAGACAATCCAAATTCCACCCCATTTATATGTATAATATAAAACATAATTATTTATTTATTTTGCTACAAGAGCCAAAGAATATTATTCCTACCAGAATACTATTCTTTCAAATTCAAATTAAATTTTAAAAGAAATCAAATTATTGTTTTCCTTTTATTCATGATATCAAATAAATCTTTGAAGAAAAATAATTTTGTGCTCACATTTGGTCATATCAGATTTCTTAAGATTTGTTAAACTAATCATGAATGCTATATATGTGAGAGTATATCTAAGAAACAGGATAAAATGCACTAAATGGGTGATTAGACAGATAAAATGTGCTGATATGGGATTATGAATATCAGGCACTGAGAAAGGACAGAAAATGGAAGATTAAAGGATATTTGCATCTTCCAGAGAAGAGCTATTATGGACAGATTTGAGGAGCCTTAAATTGACATTGCAAACATTAAGAGGGAAACGACAGCCCTCCTGCCCTTGTATATGGTCTTCAGAATCAGTTCTGTAACGATATGTGGGGCTGACTTTTGGAGGCAGGACAAAAAGACAAAGAGATAACCAAGGTAATGGTCAGATAAAAAGGCAGCTGAGCTTGCAGCAGGAATGTAGGCCCCACTTTCATGGATTTTAAAATATTAACAGAAATTGGTACTAAATCTTGATATGGAGTTTTAGTAGATATCATACAAAATTAACCACATTGTTAAATTGCAGTGGATGATTGTATAAAGACTGAAGTGGTTACTCATAAAGGCACTTCATGAATGAGCAGATTTTCTGCCAAGGTTCTGAAGTGTCCACTGTGGTTTGAAATTTTGCTTAAGTAAATTGCTAAAGATAAAACCTAAGCAATCAGACTTTTGTAAGTTCTGAAGATTCCCTATTTCATTCCTTAGAGAGCAATCAATATAAATGATACTGTTGTTTATCCTTCCTTAGCCTTCTATACAATGTGGAATTCAATAGATGAGCAACTTGGCTTTTTTGGTAACAGTTAATTTCACTCATTATTCACAATGAAGTGGCTCTTGGCCTATCCTGTTATTGCCTCTTTTTCATTCCCAGCTGTATATGTAGTTAGAGGAAATGAAATAATTTTATGTATTATATTGACAATCTACTTAGACTACTGTCCCTTTGCTTCTATCTGACCTGCTGTGCTCCAAAATGAACTATAACTTATGAACTTACCTTTTGATAGATTATTTTTTCCCCATTTTTATGTCTAATATGGGTAGTCCTTGATTTATGATCTGTCACTTAGTGATCAAAGTCATGACAGACCACCCAAAAGGTACTTATTATCCAGTTCTGAAGTTAAGAAGTCTCTCCCCCGCCCCGTCATGTGACTGCATTTGGGTGTTTAGGAGCCAGCCTGCCTTTACAGCCATTTGCAGCATCTTATGGTCATATAATTGCAATTAACTATGTTTTTGCAGAAAATTACAATTTTCTTCCCATTTTCAGCAAAAATGGACTATAGCAAATAATGTGTTTGCTTAATGACTGCCGTATAGATCATAAAAATGAGTCTGGTCATGTGGTGACCCACTTTACGACCGTAATGGGCAGGCTCGATTACAGTCAAAAGTCCAGAACTACCTATCTCTTAAAGAGAATTATGCAAAAGGTCTTTCCGGGCACCGAGAGGAGGATTGGTACATTCTGAGATGTTACTTTTCTTGGGGATTTTAATAATATCCCCTCTTCACTAGTCCTCTGGAACTACACTATTTTGCCAACATTTATTAAACAATGTTGTCAGTTCTTTCACCACAGTCTGGCCTCCATATTTTAGGATCTCATCTAAACCAGCTGCCTTGTTGTTTTTAAAGCTTATAATTGCCATCTTTACTTCTTCAATTGTAATTTAGCCAGTATTCATCTGAAGCTCTTGTTGGACACACTGTGCATTAAAGTTGTACATAGTGAATGGGTTTTGCTGGTTAGGAGTTTCATGGAAGTGTTCAACCCATCTTTTATTCTGTTCATCCAGGCTGGTGACCAAAAGCTGAGATATAATAAACACAATATTTATAACTGCATGTAAGTAGCACTTTCACATTTTCAGTTTTATTAACTTTTTTTTAATTTGAATATCCCAATACAGGGCAGAGTCATGAGATGTCCCAATACTGCTCTACAAATATCTAAACACAAATTAGTTAAATCTTCCAATTTCCATATTTGTATTAGCCTAATTCCTCAGGGAATGTTATGAGGAGAAAATGCTTATATCCATTCAATTTTTTTAAGCCTGAGAAAGCTAGGAAATAAAGGGACTATAGGAGCATCTAGAAATCCAATGCATTTCATTAACCAAACTCTTCTGCACATTTCTGCAGCACTGTGAAGACTCTGTTAAGGCAGCAAAATGAAGCGGTTTGTCTGGCAACTGCCATTTTGCCCCAGCACACAAGCAGGTGGGAGAAAATGGCGGCCACATTTGGGTCGCCTTTGTGCAGCCCTGGGACACATGGCCTGTCCTCATTCCCCAATAAGAGGTCTGGAAAGCTTCAAAAGGTGTGATAGGTGAGGGACATATGGAGGAGGTCCAAGCACTGCAGGTCCTGGTGGAGTAGGATGGAGACAGGCGGGGAGCATAAGAGCAATGACTGCAGGGGCATTGCAGCTGTCATTAACTTTGAAACAGGGTCAAATGTAATTTGGGGCTGCCTGTTGAAACTTGGAAGTTTAAGTGACCTGTCATATCTCAAGGACTATCTGTAGCCCATTTCAGGTTGGGAGGCTTTTTTATCTTTTGAAGAGTCAAATAAAGACTCTTCAAAGAGATAATTCATCCTTTTACTACTTGTTTTTGCGTTTCAAAAGCTGTACGTTCAAAACCAGCTCTTCACTTCTTCCCTCCTGACGGGTTTTCTAAAGAAAATGGTGTATCAGTTGGATCGTTGTTGTTTGCTCTACAAATTTACAGTTCTCTCCCCAGTTCATCATTCAAGTCATCATATAATGGAGGATAATGCAATATATCTTTAACATTCTGACAGCTGTTTTGTATGGTCTCTGTAAAAGAACAAGCAATCTCTCTCACTGCAGTGGTACATTATGTTTTTTTTTAAAGAATGGATGCACTTTGCTAATGGATGGATTCAGCACCGCATCTCACTTGATATAAATTGCATATGAAGAGATTTAACAGAGTTTGTACACATAGGAAACGTTCTGTGCTATGAAGGATGACTTTATAATTTGATATTGTTTCAGTTGAGTTGCTATTAATTCTTGGAAAGAGACCCAGGGAAGATTTCTATTATTTGAAATAGATATCTGTTCATTTTTAAATGAATTCACAGTCAAAGACCAAATTAAATTGTTTATTGTGTGCCTTTTTTGGTTTAAAGTAAAATGAGATTTCTCCACTTCCTCTGAAATGAGAGATTTAAAAGAACAGAAGCCCCATTTCCCTAGGAAAAGTAGCCCAAGAAGTAGCTGCTATTTTTTTTATTATTTTCATTTATCCAAAGCAATTGTTTTTATTAAGGATAAATCTTATAACATCACTGAGGAGAAAAGAACTTGACAATCAGCCAAAGTGTAAGGTCATTGTAAACAATAAATAACATCTTATTTTGTTCAGGGTTCAGATGAGAGCAATTCAGAGTATAAATGCTGTCTCTTTCAGGACTGATCTCTTTCTTCTGAAGAAACTGTTGTAACTATGTTGTCAAGAGCCCCGGCTTCTGCATCAAGAAATGAAAAAGTAAAAAACATGTCTGCATTACAAGACAGGGAAAGAGCACTCATTAACAGTGGTTGTATTTTTACAGATAATGTTGACAAAACTTTTGCAGTTTTGTTCTCAGAAAAATTAAGACATCCCTAATGCTATTAATTTGATCTTGAGAAATAGATTGTTGCAGTAGGGAAGCACATATTGCATCTTTACTTCTTCAGTTGTAATTTCACCAATATTCACCTGAAGCCAGCAAAGAGCCTTTGATCCATCGAAAGTAACCTACGGGCCCTACTGGAAAATACCGTGAGCAAAATTGGCTGGCTTTGACTCAGAGATCATTGCTTTATTGATAACAGTGCTTTTATCACACTTGAAATTACAGCCTTAGCCTTTCATCTTCCTGTTATTATTTTTTCTTCTTACAAATAATTTTCCAGCTTAGAAAAACGGTAGGAAAAAAGATTACATGGCTTAAGCAAATGAAAGTAGCTTTGGGATTCATAGATACACCCACCCCAAATATTTCAACATAATGCCCCTGGAAGGTTATTTATCACCGAATCATTTGTCATTGAAAACCCGCAATTCCATATACTTTTCTCTCCATTTGATACTGCATTTCTCTCTCACTTTTATACCCAAATATCTCAAAAACATATTAAAACAGAAGAGATGCTTACTAATGTCAGAGCTGAAATGCCAACACCATTTTATAATCAATCTTTTTTGCTATTAGTAAACTATCAATATTAATACTGACAATTTTAATTATCAATTGATTTTTGATGATTGATTCTTTCTATTTGGACCCTCAAAAGAAGTCCTACTTGCCATATCTGAAATCTAGTAGAATACAGAACAAAACATGGAGCATAAGGGCAGAGGAAGAACAGCACACCAAAGTTTAAAAAGAGAGATAATTATTTCAGAAAAAGAATTAGGTAGATGCTAAAAGGAAATAGCAAGGAAGCCAACCTCATCATTCTTGGGAGCATCAGATTCAGGGGTCAGAGACTCATATTCAAAAACATTCATCCCACATCCCATCCCAGTCAATCTTACCCATGCCTAATTCTGAACAATTGAGAGCTTTGTAGACAACAGCTAATCAAGATTAGATTTTTTCCAGCTAAGGAAGACCAACATCTGGTCTTAGCATTGGATTGGGTCACCAACCTAAACTGAGGAAAGACAATCCAAATCCCAGGGGCCACCAGATTAGATTTTCTGAATTGGAAAGTCCATTCTTGAAAATTAATGTGACCCTATACAACATAAGCTAAGAGCTAATAATTTCATTCATTTTCATTTGTAGATCCTGTATAATCCTGGACTGGCTTTCCTATTGACTAGTGAAGCATTACAATGGCTTCTCAAATAATAGTGTACTGACTATTAGCTGGAATGGGAAGTTGGTATATATCACTATATGGATACTAAGCTGTTATTTTCTTCTTAGGGCCCCTCATGACTAGATAACTTGAGTTCTGAGCAATAGTAACTTGTACATGCAATTTTGTATGTCCCTATATTAAAGTAGCATAACTATTCACTTTGTATGGGAGAAACTACTAACCTTTAAGATGTAGATAGGCCAAGAATTCAATTATTGTACGCATAATATTGTTATATGTCAGCAGTCTTGTGGAAGTATCTGGGGGAAAAATCAAGTATTACTGATTACAAGAGAGAATGAAGGTGAGAAGGCTAGATAAAAGGGTTAATTTAGGATAAATCTGTATGAACAAAGTTTTAATCTTGAAGCAAATGTAGGGGTTGCTTCTTGGAATTAAAAGTTGATGAACTATAAGAAAACTGGGGGGGGGGGGGTCCTCAGGAATTTATAATCATTAATGAAAAGTTTTGGTTAGCTTTAACACTTTTATCTACATGTTATTTTAAAATGTAAACTGTTCTGTGGGTGGAATTATTTTTATTTTATGTTTCTACAGTGTTTTCCCGAAAATAAGACCCTGTCTTATATTTTTTTGAACTCTGAAATAAGTGCCTGGCCTTATTGCCATGCGCTCAAAAGCCTGATTGGGCTTATTATCAGGGGATGTCTTATTTTGGGGGAAACAGGGTACATTTTATTGGTTATATATACAGATTTTTGCTGCCTGAAAAATGCATTGACTAAGATTTCTCAACCCTGGCAACTTGTAAGATGTGGGAGTTGAAGTTCACACATCTTAAAGTTGCCATGGTTGAGAAACACTGGTATAGGCAATAGAGAGTAAATTTCCTATCCACACTCCAGGGGTTTTTTTCATGCAGATTTGGAGGGCATTCAAGGTGATCAGAGGAGGGAGAAAGGAACCATGAGAGACTCACTGGGCAAGTTAGTCAATTCTCACAACGACAACAATCATATTATCTATTTAATTTTAATTTTAATTAAATACAATGAAATCTAACTTGGATTTCATTCTACTCCTAACTACTACTGTCAGGGATATAGCTGCCCAGCTTAAACCTAAGGAAAATGTATGATTAATTTTGCAGATATTACCCAATATTGCTTTTAAAACAGAAATATCACCATGGAAAAATAAAATTATCCATTTAAATAGACTTCATCATGTTTCATTAAAACAACACCCACATAAAAGGGCAGATCTTCAAGCAGAAAATTTGTGCATCATGATTTAGGAAAGAAGGAATCAGGAGCAGTTTTTAAGACATGCTTGGAAGTACATAGCAGAAAGGTAGTAGTAGAAGAAAAGTTACCTGCTTTTACATTTTCTTCGAGGTTTATGTCACGTTTACCAGCTAAACCATGCTTGACACTAAAAATTCTTTCTATTGCATCTGTAAATAAAACAAGAGGTGAGATCAGGTTTTATTACTCTAACATTCACCAGTGTGAGAGATCTCCCCACTAGGTAAAACGATTCTGAACAAAAATGTAACATATATTTTTGATGGAATGATGCACATTGAATGAGTGGGGGGAAAACATTTCACTAACTGTAAAGCAAAATATCTTTGCTATTTGTAATAGCAAAGGCCTATTGCAACATTGGCATACAACACCAGCAAAATTCAGCACAATGTCACATTTTGGGTGTAATCATGCAGCCGTTGATATAATGAAAAGACAAGCAAGGAGTTGCCTTCCAAGTGCTGTTGGACTGCACAGCTAACATTTCTCATTCTTCACCATTTTTGGCTTGAGCAGCTAAGAATGGAAGTTCAATGGCATCTGGAAAGTCACAACTTGCTCATCTCTGGCATAATGCAAATGTTTTGATTCAGCCAAATATGGGATTAAGCCATTGCCACTAAATTAAAGAAAATAATCTCTGGTACAATAGCCACTTTATAGCCATTTGTTTGCTCTGGTTGACAAAGGTGGACATATTTGAGTGCACATAATGTGCTGCCTTGGGTTCAGTCTGTTTACTTGAGAACATGTAGCACAGTGATTGCTTCCTTTGATTTTAAGAAACATATTAGATTTATTTTAACAGTAAACTGCAGTTAGTTTACACAAATAACCTCCAAAAGCCATCTTACATTCCCCAGGTGGCTCTTCTCTCCCCCTTGCACTGGGCATTTCCTTGAGGAGCTGTTCAATACGACCTGAAACAGATGATGGCTATTACCCATCCTTAGAGAAAATTGAACTTGAAAAGTAGATTTCCTTTGTAAGGCATGGAGGTTTGGCCATCTTTCATCCATTTTGCCACCATTCATTCGAACCCAACATAAACAGAATAAAATATTCCAAGAAAAAAAAATTTGACTTCTGTTCTCTTAGAGAATGTATTAATCCTGCCTTTCTTTTTGTAAGTAATTGGTGCCCATATACCATTATATGGTTTTAAAGTAGTGTCCATTCATGATAATGTAATCAAAACATTGAATAATCTCAGTGTGTCTAATGTACACATCAAGTAGCAAAGTACATCTGTAAGGTGTTTGCTCTCCTGAAATAATTTTAATTAATGTATTACATATATTTGTGTACCGCACCCTGAATTAGCTTCAATTGATCCAGCTGCTGACTAGCAAAGGATACATATTGAGACAGAATCATAGAATTCAAAAGGGCTAATTGGACTGTTACATCCAAACCCTACTCAGTATAGGAATTAACTAAAAGAGCCTCCAACAGAAGGCTATCCAGCTTCTTCTTGAAACATATTCAATGCCAGACATTCATAATTTTCCCTGATAAGTGATTTTACTGTCAAACTGCTGGGTTAAACTAGGGTTCAACCAGAATCTGGTTGTAAAATTGTGAAACCTTTCACAATTATTATGTCTCCTGCCATTTAAATGATAACAGAAAAAATGACTGTTATGTGATGTCTTGCCAGATATTTTAAAAATGCTGTGTTATCATGTTGCCATTATCCCTTATTCCTTGTCAAGGATAATCACACCCAATTTTCTCAATCTCTTCTCATACAACTTTATTTCCAGTCTCCAAACCTCCTCCTTGTTGTTTCCTGCACTTCTCAGGACACATTCGTTACACTGGGAAGGTAACTAATGCAGGTTCATTAGTTCCTGTGATTTGGAGACTATACTTTGATTGATGTCACCTAAAATCACAGTTGCCTTTTTAGCCACAATGAACAGTGCTGACTCATATTCAGCGTGATCAATTACGTGACAAGATTTTTTTTCATGCATATTGTAACCAAAGTAGATTGATACTGTCTATTGGTCATTCTTTGCCTTGCATTTTATTTTATTTTTTCTTAAGTGAAGAACCTTACATTTATCTCCATTCAATTTCAAACTGTAATGTTCAGCCCACTTCTCTAACCTATAAGTACCATTTTAAAAATGTATTGTGTTTATTTATTGGTATCATAAACAACAGAGGTTGTTTTAAAAAATAATAAAAACAAAATTGCTGAGATATCCTGTTCAATTATTCTGTCCCCCACTTGGAATTGCCTCTCAAGAACAGGGTTTCTTTTGTTTTTGCACCTATTAAAATGGCAGGTTCTTGGACTAAAGGGAATATTCCCCCTTCCCTTTATTTTTCAATCCATATCGGATTAATTTTCTAAAACAAATATATGATTATTGGGAAGTTAGGGAAATTTATTGGGAAAACAAATAAATCCTTCCACCTGATCACACAAAACTGGAGAGAAAGTGGACAGGCTGATGTTATATAGCCTGATTTCACGTGAATTAATAATAAGTAGCTTCTATGTATTGTACCATTTTTGTCAAAACATTTTTTTGGTGTGTGTGTGTTAGGGAAATCTTATCCAAGTTCCTGTTAATGTGGAACTTCATAGCTTTTCTAGCAAACAGCCATCCTCTCAGCTGCAGCACTGAATGGAAAAATCACTTTTCTTCAACACTGCTGTAAACTCTTTGGGAGAATTTCCACACCATCTTTTTTTTTAGGCTGAAAAAAGCCTATGTTTTTACAGGGCTGATAAGTTGAAAAGATTTTCTCAATTTCAGTGAAATGGTTTGAACTGAAGGGGGTGGTAATTAAATCGCTTGTGTGGTGTTTTGTTGCCAGGGTTGGGGGTGGAGGGCCATTATATTATTTTCTTAATTTATTTTCTTCTATTAGCTTTATTTTTTATATATGCTGTTTTTATATTCGTGTAAGATGCATTGAGTCACCATGCGTAAATAGGCTGCAATATAAAATTTCTAAATAAATTTAAAAATTATTGTGTTTTTCTTAAAATCATGCAGACCTAATTATGTTGAAACTTGCCAAAAACTGCAACAGCTGTTTAAACTCTGTCCCAATATGGTGCCCTCCAAAGGTTTTGAATGGTTACCACTAATTTTGATGATCAGTTTATGGGAACAGATGTATAAACATTCATCTATGCACATAGCTGTTTACTTCTATAACAGGATGTCATTTGAATTTTTAAGAATATATAGATAAGCATATGATGTTGACACCTATGAGAAAGGCTTTGTAAGTGTAAGTGTATAATTTTTGCTTACTGTTCTACCAAAATGTAAATTGGCCCAGTCATGGCTGACAAAAGTATTTGTCATGTACTTAGCAATAACCAAGGGCAAAGCCACATAAATATCTTCTGACAGCCCATAATAGTCACTTAAATCATTTGACTGAAATCCCTTCCTCAGTCCTACCAAGTATTATGTATTGCTTTCCTTCAAACCTGTAATGTAGCCCTGTGTATTACCTGACTGCTTATCCTGTTACTTGGAATACAACGGCCCTACCACTGTCTCAAATATTTGCAGGCAATCTAAAATATATGGCTCTTGCTAGACAGTTGCAGAAAAGAAGGCAAACAGAAAGAAGGAGCTTGAAAATAACGAAAAACATTTTCAATAATTATATTCTTTCTATTTATGAAATGGAATGGAACCAGAAAGTTGATCAGTATATCCAGGGAACACTGGTAATGTGTTCAGATTAATGCATTGATATGGTCTGGAAGTGAAAATGGAGCTCAGATCAAATTGGTTTGCTCTTAAGAATTCAAGTGAGGTAATGGAGGACTTGTTCCTTCAAAGTACTCAGTTGGAAATAGTTTAAACCAAGCCAGGGAAAACTGTAACTGAAAAATTTCATAACCTCTCCCATCAAGAGCAGGGAGTGAAAACTAATATAAAACATATATATTTCTCATTTCTCTTCATTTCAATTCATATGCAAATAGATGTAGAAATTAACATTCTTCCACATTGTTTTAAATGTATATTAAATATTTTAACTCACGTGGGCCAAGCAGATAGCCAGCACTATTCATAGTCCATCCCCTTTTCTCTTTAGCCTTACAGAAGGAAAATGCATGATTAATTTTGTACGTATTACCCAATATTTCTTTCAAAACAAAAATACCAACCTGGAAAATAAAATTACCCACTTAAATGGATGTCATTTTCATTAATATAACATCTATTTATTTGGGGGGAAATGCAATTAATCACAAGTTATAGTAGTTACACAGATTTACCAGAATTTACACAGGATTCTTTTTAAAACAAGCTGTACATTATAAGAGTAAATCAACTGTGTATAAGAATTAGTTTCAAAGTTATTTAGGATTTCAGAGAACTCAGAAGTAAGCTCCACAGACTTTATAAGGAATTAATGACTTTCCTTGGGATAAAAGTGCTTAGGAGTTAGAGTTAACATATGCATCTCAGTAGCAAGGATTTAATCTTAGGTCTGCTCCTGAATTTTGCCAAAAGATCTGCCTCCTTTTCATTTCAGTCCCTCTGGTCTTTTTAAACAAATTGCTTGTTTCTGTCCAATTGGACCTATCAAATCTTTGCCAGTGATTTTTCTCCCGACACTGCCACACACTCATTTAAGAGACAGCCATCCCCGTGTTTGTAATTTTAAGAGACAGCCACGACTCCTGCTTGCAATGACGCTCTGTGTTTGTAAAGCGACTCAGGAGGTCGAGTCGGAGCACGTGTTACGGGTCTCTTGTAGTCCGCTGAAAGATGGGCGAGCAGCCGAGAACTACATTCGCTTGCTTAAGTTACTTACGGATAAAACCAGCCCAAACGTCTCTGAGAGAGCAGCACAAAAGATCAAGCCGACAAACAGGAGCCCGGGATGCCGCTGCATCTAAAAAAAAAGAGAGAGACCGAAATAATTTCTTTCCCGCCCTTCCCGATTCGCGCTCCCCAACTCGGGACCCAAAGAAGGTCTCCCTTTCCAGAGACAGACGAAGACCCTTCGTGGAAATGGCCCGTCCACCAGAATCCTGAGGTTTTATGGATGTTTTAAAGGAACTCCTGATCTTAGAAATTAGCGAGTGTTCCTAGCCTAAAGTGAGAGTACACGATGAAGAGAAGCGGGAGGGCGGACAAGATGGGGAACTTGAAGGAAAGTACCTTGCCCCGGAGCTAAGGGTGCCCTTGCCTGTTGAAGTAACCTGCTGGACTCGCCCCGTCGCAGCTGGGAGAAAGGAGGCCAAGGGGAAGGGATCCTTGGGCCGATCTCTCTACCGGATCTCCTCAGTCACTGCATGGCTCGGGTGCCAGCCCAGAGATGAGCTCTGCGGATGGACGCCACGGGTAGCGCCAGCCAAGGAGATCGCAGCGGAGATCAAGCCTGCTTCTCCTCAGCTATTTATGAGCTGCGGTTCAACATCATTACTGGCGCGCCTCGTCACTCGCCTCGGGGGGATCAGGAGACGCCCACACTCCATGGCCGTTTCCCCGCGGCAAGGCAGTGCATTAGGAAGGGCAAAAAAAAAAAAGAGAGAGAGAGAGAGAGACGGCAACTTAATTAGAGGCGTTTGGAGCCTGCAGATGGCGCGCAGCTCGGCCAATTACCTTTCATTACGCTCGGGCTGGTCCCCTCGACGAGAAGGCCGCGGCTGCAGACGCGCCTCGATGCTTCTTCCTATTCAACTTCAGAAGTTCCTTTGTTGCTGTTCGCGAAGGAGGGAATAGCTCTGCCTTGTCGGGGAGCCGACAGTGAAATTCGAGGGGGGAGGAGGTCTTTGTATTTCCATTATGGCTATTATTATACGCCATCAGATTCACAGGTCTTCCAATTACAGGTTTCCTGGCCTTTTTCTCATCTCTCCCCGTCCTAGCGAGGAAACAAGTTTTACCTATGGAATTCCTTTTTTCTGATTCAACCTGGTTTCTGCCTACCGGTTTTCTGTTCTTTAGATAAAGCTTGCTTTGTCCCCATAACTTCCTTGCTGGTGCACCCAAGAGAGGCTGTTGTGGAGGTAAAAGTGATACAACAAATAAGAGCCCAGCCATTTGAGTTAAGCTCCCACAATTAGCCAAGTTATTTTGACTTCTGAGGCAGAAAATCCTCAAGCACTCCCGCCCTATCCATGGTAAAAATACAACGATGCATTCAATAGTGAAGGATTCCTTGCCCTTCTACAACAGTCCCGCTTAATGTTGGTCTCCCTAATGGTAGGGCAGGCCATGCTTCTAGAATCATTTTCTCTGGAGCAATAGTACTGCAATGAAGGACTTCTTTTCCTGTTTCAAAATCCAAAATCTACCGGACTGAATGGCTCAAAAGGTTTATCATGAGTTTTAATCAGGCAAGCATGGAAGAGCCAAGAAATGCTTAAATCGAAAAGCTAGGTTAAGCTATGAGATCTGCATTTTCAAGAGCTTCAGAATGAAGATACAGTAGATTGAAATGCAGATGGCATTTTAAATAAAGGCAGTTCTCATCTTACAACAGTTCATTTAGTGACTGTTCAAAGTTACAATGGCACTGAAAAAAGTGACTTATGACCTTTTTCTCACAACTATTCCTTGGTCCAAGCTTTCCCTTGGTCATGTGATCAAAATTCAGATGCGTTGCAACTGACTCATATTTATGGTTGACCGACAAGCAAAGTCAATGGGGAAGCCAGATTCACTTAATAACTCTGGTACTAATTTAACAACTGTAATCGCTCATTAATTGTAGCAAGAAAGATTGTAAAATGGATTAAAAATCACCTAACAACTATCTCACTTAGCAATAGAGATTTTGGGCTCAATTGTCCTAAGTTGAGGACTACTTGTACACAAGCAACAACATTTAACACACTGGAATGAATTCCTGGCTGAAACTGCACTGAAAATGTGAGTGAATTTGGAATGACTTTCTTCTGGGATAACATCATTTGCATTGTTTTATTGGGCATTGTTCTATAGTAGGCAAACAGTATATGTAACTTCTACCCTGGCAGATGGAGTTGTAAAGTTCTAAAAATCTTATCGTATTGACACTACATGCAACACATACAGGTGAAACTCAAAAAATTAGAATATCGTGAAAAAGTTCATTTATTTCAGTAATGCAACTTAAAAGGTGAAACTAATATATGAGATAGACTCATTACATGCAAAGCGAGATAGTTCAAGCCTTGATTTGTCATAATTTTGATGATTATGGCTTACAGCTCATGAAAACCCCAAATTCACAATCTCAGAAAATTAGAATATTGTGAAAAGGTTCCATATTCTAGGCTCAAAGTCTCCCACTCTAATCAGCTAATTAAGCCATAACACCTGCAAAGGGTTCCTGAGCCTTTAAATGGTCTCAGCCTGGTTCAGTAAGAATCACAATCATGGGAAAGACTGCTGACCTGACAGTTGTGCAGAAAACCATCATTGACACCCTCCATAAGGAGGGAAAGGTAATTGCAAAAGAAGTTGGATGTTCCCAAAGTGTTGTATCAAAGCACATTAATAGAAAGTTATGTGGAAGAGAAAAGTGTGGAAGAAAAAGGTGCACAAGCAGCAGAGATGGCCGCAGCCTGGAGAGGATTGTCAGGAAAAGGCCATTCAAAAGTGTTGGGGACTTTCACAAGGAGTGGACTGAGGCTGGAGTCAGTGCATCAAGAGCCACCACAACAGACGGATCCTGGACATGGGCTTCAAATGTCGTATTCCTCTTGTCAAGCCGCTCCTGAACAACAAACAACATCAGAAGCGTCTTACCTGAGCTAAAGAAAAAAGAAACTGGTCTGTTGCTCAATGGTCCAAAGTCATCTTTTCTGATGAGAGCAACTTTTGCATCTCATTTGGAAACCAAGGACCCAGGGTCTGGAGGAAGAATGGAGAGGCACACACTGCAAGATGCTTGACGTCCAGGGTGAAGTTTCCACAGTCTCTGTTGATTTGGGGAGCCATGTCATCTGCTGGTGTTGGTCCACTGTGCTTCATTAAGTCCAGGGTCAATGCAGCTGTCTACCAGGAGATTTTGGAGCACTTTGTGCTTCCTTCCACAGACGAGCTTTATGGAGATGCTGACTTCATTTTCCAGCAGGACTTGGCACCTGCCCACACTGCCAAAAGTACCAAAACCTGGTTCAATGACCATGGGATTACTGTGCTTGATTGGCCAGTAAACTCGCCTGACCTGAACCCCATAGAGAATCTATGGGGCATTGCCAAGAGAAAGATGAGAGACATGAGACCGAACAATGCAGAAGAGCTGAAGGCTGCTATTGAAGCATCCTGGTCTTCCATAACACTTCAGCAGTGCCACAGGCTGATAGCATCCATGCCACGCCGCATTGAGGTAGTAATTGATGCAAAAGGGGCCCAAACCAACTACTGAGTACATATGGATGCTTATACTTTTCAAAGGTCCGATATTGTTTTATGTACAATCCCTGTTTTATTGATTTCATGTAATATTCTAATTTTCTGAGATTGTGAATTTGGGGTTTTCATGAGCTGTAAGCCATAATCATCAAAATTATGACAAATCAAGGCTTGAACTATCTCACTTTGTATGTAATGAGTCTATCTCATATATTAGTTTCACCTTTTAAGTTGCATTACTGAAATAAATGAACTTTTGCACGATATTCTAATTTTTCGAGTTTCACCTGTAATTGCACATTCACAGTAGTTTACACAGCAACATTTTCACAGTGATTTACCCAGTAAATTATTCAGTTTAAATTATCAAATGACAAATATATTTGCCATTCAATACTGCAGAGGTAAGAGCATGACATCACATAAAAGAGGAAGCGTTTTGGTGGCTGGGTCTTTTTAGTTGTGTATATTTGGAGCTGTATATAAACAGCTGGAGTTTAAAAGCTGAGGCCACAGTAGAGTGTCCAAGATTGGTCAAGAACTGGTGTTTACATTTTTTAAAGATGTGATGACATTTATGTTAATATCTACATGTAATAGAAGAATTTTATATCAATACATAACAAAAACACTGTTAGTAATAAATGCAATGGGCACAATTATTTAGAAATAAGGAGTCCATAGACCTGGTTAGGAAACTAAAAGTACATATATATTATTTTTGCAAACTTCAATACTAATTTTTAAGGTAATTGTTAGTTAATGAAACCTATTTTGTTAAGTGGGAAAGGATGGGGTCATTGAAGGGTCAAGAACATTACAAATGAAGTATCATAATATTTGTCGTCATTACTCATTGGAGTACCCTGTTTCCCCCAAAATAAGACATCCCCTGATAATAAGCCCAGTCGGGCTTTTGAGCTCATGGCAATAAGGCCAAGCGCTTATTTCAGGGTTAAAAAAATATATAAAACAGTCTTATTTTTGGGGAAACATGGTAATTTTATTTATTCTAACTACAGGGTGGTACAGTGCTTTTAAACCAATAGTTTGAACTTGGATGATTTATGCATTTATTTTTCAAATCTTTGGTAAAATAACGAGTTTATCAGGTGAGTAGACAGTGAAACCTTTTTTATTATTAAAGATTCAGCCCAGCAGTTTTCTACTTAATTATTTTGACTCTCCTCTTTTCTCCTTTTATCTCAACTAGATTGTCAGGCAGAGTTAAATCATTTTCTTCTCTACTCAGATGCACATTGTTCTTTCAGTTCTGTTTGTCAAGAATATTATTAATCCTTTTTTATTTTTCAGTACTGACATGTCTAGTTGTGCAGGCAGGATAATTCATAGTGAGTATTATGGCTGCACTTTTATGTTAGCATTCAAATGAGTCCATTGTCCAAATCAAATTACAGTATAATATTGTGGGTTGACTCTCTAATACATTTACTTCTTACTATTCCTCAGCATGAAAAATAACTTGAGGTTTTTAAACTTATCCTAAAATCACATCACAGGAGTTGATTCATCTTTCAGTTAAAACTTGTGTAGGAATGCATGATAGAATGCCCCAACTTTGACCTCTGTCCTTTGGAAAGTAATCTTTCTGACTGCTCTGGACAATCGTCTATGTTTCCTTTCCTTCATCTCCAAACTTTGGCTGATTCTGAATGAAATAACAGAATAAAAGAGTTGGAAGGGACCTTGGAGATCTAGTCCCATGATGGTGAATCTATGGCATATGTGCCAGAGATGGGTATGTGAGCCGTCGCCCCAGTTCAGCTCTGCTGCACGTGTGTGCGCCTCCCGCCAGCCAACTGGTCTTCAGGTCTCTGTTGCGCATGCACGGGTGGCGGGGGCATGCGGGGGGCATTCACGCATGCACGGGGGGAGGGATGCATGCATGAGGCCCGTGCACGCATTGCATTTTGGGGGTTCAGGCGTGCACGCATTCACACACGCACACATGCGCTTTGGGCACTCAGTCCAGAAAGGGTTAGCCATCACTGTATCTAGTCCAACCTCCTGCTCAAGCAGGAAACCCTGTATCATTTCAGACAAATTGTTATCCAATCTCTTCTTAAAAAT